GCATTAAACCGTACAAAAAAATTATATTTGCTGCCATTTGTTCTTATACATTTTTATTATTATAAAGAGTTTCGAATGTTTGGAAACTGACTTTTTTTTAATTAAGAAAAACTGTTTGAAGTGTAAGCCGGTCAACAATATTTTGCAAAATTTTATTATGCACGTCTGCAACAATTGGCTTACATTGGAATTCTCCACAAGTTCATCTTACTCGCAGGGATTTGGGGGAAAAGTGGTACTCCCATGGCAACCGAAACTTTTCGCAGAACGATCTGTATCTTGAGTTATTTTGTGGTGAAAAGGGGGAAGAGGGTAAATAAGGCGACTTTTTTGTATGCAGTTATAAGCTAACGTTGGCAACACTGGTCCACTCTCCGACTTCTTTGGCTCCACTTGGCACCAACACAAAGATGCACTGGAACTCACAAACACGGACGGATTGAGAACTCTCGCACTGGATGGCCCCACATGGCTCCCCATCAATCGATCGAGCTTGCATGCATAAACATGCAAAACGAAACCAAAATAAAATTAACGAGAACAACAAAAGGCAAACAAACGCCCATACATACGGCCATATAAATAAACACACGCACACACACGGCTACATATAGATTTGGCGAGTACATATATGCGTGTGTGCATGTGTGTTGGGTCACTCGTAACGGCAAAACGATGGAAGGCAGCGAAAGAGAAGCACAATAAATAAATAAAAACACCAAAATACACACAGACACACACACACATACAAACTGGCGTATTGGAAATGCGTAAAAAATGCCGCTCGTTGATTTTTCAGCTAGCAACCGACAACCGACTCCACCTGCGCATACATACAGACGACGGATGTCTTGTTTGTCTCTTTGTAAACACACAAAAAGCACACTTTTCACAACGTATAGCTTTGCTTTTCTGCTCTTTGGTTTTCGCTCGGCGATTGCGTAAACTTGCCGCCCGCTTTTTTCCCACCTAACATCAAAATATGTACACACACTTGAGGCCACCCATACCACTGTGTATGTGTGCGTTGTGTGAGCGTGTTCCAAAATAAAAACTTAATATTTATTTATATGCCATTTAGCTGGTTGATTTTCAGCTCACTCTGCTATTGATTTTTTATTACTACTAATTCTCGCCCTCTCTTTCGCTGTTTATATTTTCGCCGTTGGTTATCAAACTCGAACTGTTTTTGTTGTTTTTTCTTTTCAGTTTTTTTTTTTGCACACAACACGTTTTTCGCTGCGTGTTTGTGTGTGTATATTATTTTTTGTTCGCCTTGTTTATTTTTATTTTTTTGCGTACCTTCTTGGAAAAAACCTTTGGCTGTTGGAATTTGTTAAATCTCTTGATACAAACGTAACACTAGTAGTTGGGCAATAATTAAAAGCCGATTTGTGCACTTTTTCAGCGATTTTAATGCGGTTTTCCCGATTCTTATTGCTTCAGCGCGGTGAAGGAGAAGAAGAAGAGATCAGTTCGAGTGGTGGCAACGCCGTCATCCAAAGCCAGGTATGGCCAGTCCTAGGTCTGGCCACTCTGCACATCAGCTGTTTTCAGCCGCATTTCGATTTTGTAACAGTTGGAAAAATTCTTTTTGTGTGATTTCTTAATTAAACCTGGAAAAATGCAAAGCCTGACGCGACTGATGAACACAACATTGACCCTGCAAATGCCGTCAAGGATGCCGGCAGCAGGGGTTGCACTGCAGCAGCTGCGCGGCAAAACCAAAGTGGTGGAGAAACCAAAACCTGGCGCTGGTCAGCAATTCCGTCGAATTGTGCACTTTCCGGAGGAATACACGGTAGAGCCGCTGAAGATCACTCATTTGGCGGGCAGAGATCCCGTCTCCGGTCGCCTGGTAGCCAAGGGCATCGGCGGTGGCATCAAGCAGCAGTATCGGTGGGTAAAATGGTTGCGGGATGGTCCAACGGAGGGAGCCCAGGAGGAGCTGGTGCTCGAAGTGCTCCGTGACGGCTGCCGCACTGCGAATGTTGCCCTGGTGGCCGTCGGAGATGAGCTCAAGTACATCCTAGCCACCGAGAACATGAAGGCGGGTGATATTCTCAAGACTTCACGACTGATTCCTAGGATTCCTGGTGAGTTCGCTTACTGGTTGTCACGATATCTACCTACATGCTATCTATCCACATACATCATTTTATGATCAAGAGAATAAAAAAGTATTTTTTCTTTTGTATTCGGAAAAGATTTTTGACTAATTCATCGTAATCCTATAAATTTTGTATATTTTTTAAACTTGTTACGAAGAGTTTAAAAGATTTTACTTAGTTTCAAACAATATTTTTGACCTTATGAAGTAAATATATAGCAATGCTTCCATATTTCTATACCGTTCAGTTATAAAGCTAATATTTTGACACTTTCGTGTTGGCCTTTTTATATATGAACGCAGGAAAAGTTTGAAAATATCGCTGATCGGACATATATATTCCGATATATTGCCAAAGAAACAATTGGGATAATTTTAAAATTTGTTTGATTTCGAAGAAATTTGCGCAGAATATTCGCGCATTTTCAAGAATCGGAAAGAATGCTTTAAAAACCGGGTGCCTTAACCTCAGTGTAAATAAAAAATCTTTTTTCAGTTAGACCAACTTATGAAACTAATCCAACCTCTATGACCTTAAACTGCCCATTTGGACAATTTCTTATCTTGTATAAGTTGTATATGGCAATCGTTTAAGCCAATCAATTTTTTCCCTATAATCCCTAGTGCGACCCAACGAAGGAGATGCCTATCCCTTGGGCGCCCTACCCGTGGGCACCCGTATCCACTGCCTGGAGAAGAATCCCGGCCAGATGTGCCACCTGATCCATGCCGCCGGCACCTTTGGCACCATCCTACGCAAGTTCGACGACAAGGTGGTGGTTCAGCTGCCCTCCAAGCGGGAGTTCGCCTTCCAGCGCACCTGCATGGCCACTGTGGGTCGCCTCTCCAACCCGGACCACAACAAGGAGCACGTGGGCAGTGCACAGAGGATGCGGGAGATGGGCAATCGTCCGCGTTCTGGTCTGTGGAAGCGCAAGGAGGGCAAGCACGGCCGTAAGATACGTCGCCTGCCGCCCATGACCACAATATCGCCACCGGCGCCACCCAAAGAGGAAGCTATCAAGTTGACGCTGCCCCTGTAAGGATCTTGCTTTAATTTCTATGTGTCACACATTATACAACTAGAACTAGAACTACAGCTAGAGCTATTTGCGCGTTTTCTTCATGGAGAATCCGGTGCCGTGGAAGCTCTCCCCATCGGAACCATCCGCATTGCCAGCTGCGGCATCATCTTCGTTGCCCCTATCGCTGATGGGTCGAATGTTGCGGTCGAAGCGGATGAGACCAAACTGGAAATCGTAGTCGGGCACGCCGCGCGCAAGGACTTTCTTGAGGACCGGTGTATCCATTTGGCTCTCCTTCTTCTTTTTGCCATCTAAACGGACTCCAGAACCCTTAAAGGTCTCAACCACCTCCTCGAGTACGGCGCTGGCGCCTCCGGAGGCTTCCCCGCCTGCAGATCCCGCCGTACCCTGCTGTCCTGAGCCGGAAGCCTGCGTTTCCGAATGATCCTTGTAGCCCACCGGTGCCTCAAACTCCACATTCATGTCGCACTCTATGATGCTGACGGCATTGCCGGGTTTCGTCTCCAGAACGCACAGTTCATAGACCTTCTTGTTGTACTTGATGGCTATGACATCGCCCTTAGTGAGGCAGGCAAAGTTTCGCAGGGCATTCTCCAGCACCGCCTTGGGATTGGTGATGTCCAGGAAGTCGGTGCTGTGCGGCTGGAACTTTGAGAACGTGGCCACCGGCAGGGAGACACTTTCGATATTGAGGATGTCGCCCTCCTCCAGCAGCAGGTTGTCCATCATCCAGTAGGGCAGATAGCATTTGCCCTCGTCGGCCACGAATTCAAGGACGCCGGCGTGGGAGGATCTGGATTTCTTGCCGTTGGTGAGTTTGAAGAGCATGGGATACTCCACATTTAGACGGGTGAGCGTGTCCAATGCGGAGGGAGGCATGATAACTGGGTTTTAGAAGGGGTTACTAAGGGTTTAGAGAGGTCTATAAAGCAAGGAAAACTCACTTTTTCCGCCCTTCTCTACGTCCGATCGCTCGTTTCCGGGCAACATGGATACGGAGAAGCACTTGTAGGTGGCATGGAAACTGCGTCCCTCTGGGAACATCATGTTGAAGCCGCTGAAATGGAACATTCTGTGTGTGCCTTGCCCTAACTGGCTGTCCCTATGTATTTTGCACTACTTTTTTCCCCCTTTACGAGGGTTCTAATTTTGTTTTTTTTTGTTTTTTGTTTCTGTAATGTCACGACTGCAGCAGTGTGACCAAACTACCGATTCGCAAAAGCCTACGAACAACGGTCTTACTTTCGATCTGCAAACAACTGGCAACACTCGCAGCGTTCAAATTAAGTTTCCCGCCAAATTTTTCTTCTCACGAAACTTCTTCGATAAAAATCAGCTTGGGACTTATAAAACCTTTTGTAAATAGTGGGCAAAGGCATATTTAACTGTTGAGCAGACCATTTTTGGTTAGGTGAAAACAGTGCTGCCGGACCTTCAATTATTTAAAACGACACGAAAATATTGGCGGGCAAAAAAAATACTTCTGCTTCAAAAGTATATTTATATAATAAAATGCATTATCGATTAATCACTATCCCTATTTCAAAATTTGTAGATGGTTTCACAAATTACATTTTTAATCATCAAAAAAAAGATTTAATCAATTTAATGAAGGTAAAAAAATTTAAGCAGAGCAGATAAAAACTTTTGTAGTCTTACATTTTTAGTTTCATAAAAAGGCTTTAGTGAAGTGAGGTTTTATAAAATATATTCACAATGGTTTTATATAAAAGATTTATTCCACTACATGGGTCCACAAGATTAGCTTTAACTGCCTTTGGTATATGTGGTATTTTTTTCCATCTACAGCATATTTTTCAAAAAAAAATTGGCATATTTGACTGGCCACACCTGCGGTCACACTTTCACCAAGCAAGCCGGTGGTTGCGCGCGACTTCGTCCCGCTTAAATATATTCAATAGTCGAGTTATTGATTTGAAAAAGTGCTGCTGATCAAGTGAGTATCCTTAAAGGAGGTTACCAAACTGCTCTATATTCCCTAAAATGGTTGTCATCTAAAGATTTCCCATTGGAATAGTTTCTGGCGAGCTTTTCAGTGCGCGTGATTGTGTGAGTGTTGGCAGGATATATCCTTGTGTATCCTTGTAGTCTGACTGGCGCCGCGTGTTTTTCGCGTAGGTGTGCTCGTCTATGTGTGTGTGTATGTGATAGATTTTCGCCCATATTTTTTCCCACAAAAAAAATAAGCTTAATCTAAACAAGCAACAAATGCAAAATGTTTGAGTAGAAAAATCAATAAAATGGGCTATCGATTGAGAGAGGTGAAAACTGGGGCGGCAAAACGAAAAAAAAATATTTTGTGTGTTTCAATTTGAAAGTACATATTCTCAAAAAAAAAGTATTGTTTTTCTCATAGGCTAGAGTACAGTTACTTGCCGATATTTTGCAAAAACAGTTTGAGAGCCACAGAATTCACATGCAGCTGTTTTCAAGTTTCTGTTGTGGTTGTTTTTGTTGCTTCGCAGCTGCAGCACCACCAAAAAGCAACAACAACTGCACAAGGTGCGACTGTTGGACGAAACACAACTTCCCTGCGCATTCTCACGCTCTCTCCTCTCTTCTGGCAGCTTCCAGACGCTCCCGCTTCCCCCACTTTCTCTCCTTATATCTCATTTCCCCACAACAACACCGCTAAAATGATTCATTATCGAACGCCCCCCACGTCTTTGTCATTTTCATCCTTTCGCGAAATGCTCCTCTCTATTGTGAAATTTACCAGTCGTTTTATATCTGCTATTTTATTCAAATCTTCGCACTTTCCTAATTTTTCCTAATACATTTTAAAAGAATAGTCGTTCTTCCGGTACTCCTTGTCTTGCTACAAATTACCTACATATGTAGCCTAACTAAAGGCTTAATTTTATATTCAAAAGTGGTCATATATTAAATAAACTAAATTAAAATTTAACTTTCTTTGCTCCGAAACTTTTCGTATTCATTAAAAATTACATTTCAATAGATTTTTTGAGATTTGAGATACATGGGCATCAAAATCATCTGAATTAGGAATTTTAATCTTTACAGTTCCTAAGATTATGGCAAAAGGGCAGAAGTGATTTCCGCAAGTAGATGAACATCTTTTGATGAACATAGCTTATCTACAAAGCCAAATTACATTATTGGCATTGTGAAATTTTAATAAGCTATTGCTAATAAGCTATTGTATAAATTGCCAAATTTCTTTGATCTAACCTTGTTCAATTTACCAGATACAAATAAGTAATTCGCAAGTTGTGCAGGTGAGTTCCACTGTGAAGCCGAAAATATTGAGGGGAGAAGCGAAACTTCGGTATCTTTTTGTGTACAGTTTTTGCGTCTGGGAACTAAATTTAACATGCAAATATTCAACGGAATAGGGCAGCTCCCGGAAAGCATTTAAACTTTAAAATAGCGCAACGACAAAATCTGTATACGCATGGTGCACAATTTCCCAAAAATATGTTTATATTTGGCTTTTCGGAACATCAATTCTTTGTGCTTACGTCAAACAAAGAAATTTTCAATATTTTCTTCACTATAATGATATTATGAGCATACTTATTGGACCGAGTCATGAATGAGTTGGTTTGAGAATGGGTGGTGGGTGGCAGCAACCCCGCAAGGTCAAAGCGAGTACGCTCTAGCCGCCGGATGGGAAGTGTGTATGCGAATTAGACCGATTCAGTGCTCTCCCAAATGCAACTTGCGGTTCGGTAGTCATTGCACAAGTGCTTTTAAAACTCGCAAGTACAGTTAGAGTAATAGATCCGGATTTGATTTTTTGTAAGAGAATTTAACAGCAAGTCGCATTTAAAAATGATTAATTATCAATTTATCCCCAACATAATTTAAATGAAATTAAAAGAAAAAATTATTTTTCTTTTATTTGTACAATATAGAGGTTTGATGAGGATATAGTGAAAATCTTTATTAAATTGAGTGCTACTCTATATAGATTTGTATTTTTTTCGTAAACTTTACCAAGTCCAAAATGTACAAAAAAGATTTTGTTTAAAATTTGTGCGAACTATAGAAGTTATTAAAAATTCTATCCCACATTGCCCGTTGCCAAGTGCCCAAAATGTTTTGAATGGTTTTTCAATACACATTTATGTACATATGTACATACACACATATGTACATACACACATAAGTACGAACATAAACACAAGAAATTCAATGGGGCCTTTTGTTTTTTTCTTTTTGTGCACACGTTTTAAATATCACCCGACAAAATCGTGATTCCATTTTCGGATGTGATGGAAAAAAACCCAAAAACAAAAAAGGTTTGAAGTTTAATCTCTTTTTGTGAATTCTAAGAACGGAGAAAAGAAAGAATGAAAAAGATACCATTTTCAGCAATAGGTTAAATTCGCCACACGAGGCCCGCATATTTTGTTTACTTAGGTTTGTACAGTCACTCGAAAGTTGGAATTCCTTATATTTAATTCATTTGTTATTTAAGATTTCAAGTATTTTCAAAATAATGAATTTATTTAAATAAGATTTATTGGTAATTTGGAAAGCTTTTTTAATACAACAGCTATTAAAATTAGTAAAATGGCGAATGCTTTTAATGCTGATGATTAATCAAGAATGATTAATTAATTTTAAAATTTTTTGGGATAGATTAAATTTATTACTCTAATAAATCTATATTCTTTGATAGGCTCTAATAGTAATAGTAGCTTTTGTAATTGGAGAAATATTTCTGGTCTGTGTTTGCACTCTTTGAATTTTGTTCACTGAATTGCTCAACGACCTTCTCTCTTATGTTGTTGTTGCTGCTGCTTGTTGCAGGTATTTGTTAATTATTTGTGTGCATCCCTTTCACACCTGAGAGCGTTTCCAATTGGATTGGGCTGAGCCGAAGATTACTGATTGGAATGGGAAAGGGCTTCTGATGTGGGTACAGTTTGATTGCCATTGGATGAGGCAGTGTTAATTTAAAACAAGTTACCCTGAATTTTGTGGCGGCAGCGCGACCTTGAACTTGTGGCAACAACCACCCCAAAAGTGAGCCCACCACCTCGGCAAAACAACAAGTGGGAATTGTGTTAGCTGGGTGAGCGTGCAGGAAAAAGAGGTTGCAGGCCTCTATAATTCGCCGCCCTTTCCATCATTTTTTAACCTGATGCGTCCTTGGGACAGTGCGGCAAATTAAATCAATATTAAATGCAGTTTACTGTTTGCACCGACAGTTGCAATTGCAGTTGCAGTTGGTAGGCGGCAATGTCAAGGTTTCTAGTGACGCTGCAGGTACACTGTACACACAAAAAAAAAACTTACGAGGTGAAAAATACAAAAAACATTATAATTGAACATCTTGTTTATTTCATGCCTAATAAAAATAAAAGTCCTTCGGACATTCCGTTTTCAAGTTAATAGGCCTTTATAAGTGATTTCAAACTTCATGAGATCTCTTTGGCATATGTAAAGATGTTAGGTAAGAATCTTTTCAAGTTTTCAAGATGTTTTGCAGTGTACCTGGGCCTATGTCATCTGTTGTTATTTTGCACTTGCCATTCAATCCATTTTAATTCCATTTACTTGTCATGCAATGGCAATACCTGAAGCCACTTCGTGCACATTGATTGCCCGCCTCCCAACCACCCACTGCCCTCTCACCGTCGATCTGCTTGGCCTTAACGGTCCATTCCAATTACAAACTGCCCACCTGCCAGGCAATAACTGTAATTTTGCAGTCTACAATGTGCGTGAATTGATTTATCGCCATCGGTCATTAAAAGGAACAGGACCTTTTACAGGTGGTGCCTTAAAGCACACATATAAAATCTTTTTAGTAATCGCTAGGTAATACTTTTAGATATTAGACTTTTGCTATGAAAGGTATTCCAAAGACTTACAAATATATTTTTGCTATAATTTTTTAAATACTTTGGGATAAATACTTTGATTACGTATTATAAAAACATTATTTCTTAAAAACAGAAAATAAAAGAAAATGGTCGTACTTCTTTGCGTGCATTTTATTACTTTTTGAATAGCCATAAATCTCTATTGCTATTCTATGTTATTTATATCAATAGATCTGATTCATTTCGGAATAAACAAACATTTATTTGCATATGCAGTGGCTCAAAAACTATGCACAATTGCGTGTTTGCGTATTTATAGTTCAAAAGTTCAAAATACGCTACCGAATTGGAAGCGATTACCACGAACCTATGATTGTTTCCTTCCCATTTTCATTGTGAGAATAGGAAACGTGCACCCGGTGGGTGGAAAGGGTGAAGAGCGTGAAAAGCGTACACCACCCACCGATGACAAAGCACGCAAATATGGAAATTTCGCGACCAAGCGCGGCACAAAGCGTTGTGACGCTGCGACCTTGCTATGCCGCGGCGTCAGCCATTTGTCCTGGTTACTTTTCTCAACCCCCTGACCTCTAACCCCACAGCCACCCACCACCCACCGACCTCTTATCGTCATTCGTCTTCCACTTGTTTGTGTGCGGGTTTTCTTGAGGTTTTTCTATTTGCGTTGGTCAAATATGTCTGGGTGTTTGCAAAAAGTGCGAAGAAGAAATGTTATTTTGGTTTGTTTTTTCTCTACCTTTTTGGTGATGGTAATTAAACGCTTAATAATGTATTTTGTACATTGACGATCAAATGGTTAATAAAAATTACATATGGCTTATTGTATATTTTCTACACTTCCGAATATTAAAGTAGGGTGAATAAACCGATGGGTAATGCACGTTTACACACCGAAACAAAAAAAAAACATACTATTTTTAAGAAAATTAAACAATTTTGTTTAGAAGCTGTGTACTGTGTTAAGAAAATACGTATTGATCTTTTTTTTTAGTTATTGATCAGTCATTGATCTTCATTGTAAACAATGAAAACCTATTGTTAGATGCATTTACACTGATGACAACAATCTGGACAATAATAACAATAACGCCGAGCGGCAATTACAATTTCAATTGCGAATTTTCATTTAAATTGTCGCAACACCGCGCACTCCCAAAAGATACAACCGCGTGGGTCCGGCTGGATCTGGAAATATACAAATGAAACACTAAAAACAAGTCCACATATCAAACAATTCAATTTCAATTGGAAAACTCATTGAATGGTTGTTTTCCGCTTGTTACCGGTTTAAAGTAGCTAAAAAATGATGAGCACATGCAAATCAAATGGAAACCTAAAGTGCGTTTCCCTTTCGTATGGCTAATAAAATCCAATTCACTACTTGTTTTGTTTTAATAAACTATGGCTTTGGATAAACATTGTAATCTTAAAATCCAGTGATTTTATATATTAAAAACTTTAGAGAATCGATTTCATGCTGATCTAACCAGTTTGAAATTTAGTTGTAGGTGCTATTAAAATAGGCTTTTAGCTGAATTTGGCTCAAAACGTTTTAGGTGCTTAGAATGTTAAATAAAAAATAATTTTAAAATATGTTTAATTTTTTTTCAGACATGGTGAATAATTCTCTATGGTTGAAACAACTTTGCTACCCCAAACGTCAGGTAAAAGACCTTCATATTTAAACAAGCACAAACACTTTCTGATAGGAGATTTTATATATATTATATTTTCAGTTTACCAACTCGACACTTCTTAACTCCTTTTCAACATAACAAGAAACTTATTATAATTAATTAATAACAACAACCAACACAAACAACACTATATCCACAACATCAACAACTATCGTTTAATCTCAAAACGTAAACACAACAATTGCTTAAGGAGTCATCCAGGAGTTAAACGAATACAAGTGGTATTAATGTGTGAATACCTGTGAATACTTCCCAACATTGAGCATCGAATTCCGTCGACAGCAGGAATTTGTCAGCCAAGGAGAAGGATAATTGGAATATTGTTCGTTTCTTTTCGTTGTTTTGTCCAGGGTTATTTGTAGGATTTGATTTATTTATTGCTTAATTTAAGGCATAGCTGATCCTCAGCTTTGAAGAGAGGCTCCAAACCGAAGGGTTTTATCAGAAAGGTAACATTTCAGGGTAATTAGTCACCTAAGTATCGCACTTTCGCAGTTCCAAGCGGCGAGTTGTTCCCCAATTTTCATTATGAAAATAACGACAATGAAGTTTAAGCGCAAATATGGCTGTTTAGAGAATATTTGAAAAGAATTTCTCACTTATTAACCAATTTGGATTTTTGTTTCGACCCTCATTTGTTACGTAGTCTTGTATTTTATAAGTTCTCAAAGATTGTTTTGCACAATTCAAGTCATCCACCCAGTTAAATTCGCACCGCATCATACAGTTTTTGAGTTCATTTTTCGAGGAGCGAGAAGAGTAATCAGTATTTAGTCAGAGTTGAGAGAGTTTAGTGGTTTGCACCGAAGAGTTTTGAATTACATTTAACACCGAACCACATTGTCGGCAACATGGAGAGTTTTTCGCCGGAATTACTATGGATGGTAGTCCTCGGATTCCTGATCGCCTTTATCCTGGCCTTTGGCATAGGCGCCAACGACGTGGCCAATTCTTTTGGCACCAGTGTGGGCTCTGGAGTTCTCACCATCCGGCAGGCATGCATTTTGGCCACCATCTGCGAAATATCGGGAGCCGTTTTGATTGGTAAGTAATTAAATAATATTTTTAACGACTTAATTGTTAGTTTTTGGTCAAATATTTACATTTAACAATTATAAAGCTTACCGAATTCATAAAACCATTTTAATAGTAAATATAATAATTGGATTAAAACGCCTATATATACAATTGCATATAGCTAGCCATAGAAAATGTGAAATAACTAAATTACTGAATTGAGGCTGGAACTTTTATTTGATTATAAATATGTAATTATCTGAGTATACCAATATTCTAACATAATCTAAACCCCCCTTGTGTAAATGATTTCCATATTTTAGGTATTATGGAAATATATTTAGTAATATTTTATTTGTAAATCTTGCAGGATACAAGGTGTCGGACACCATGCGCAAGGGGATCCTGGAAGTGGGACTGTACGAGGGCTCCGAGGACGTGCTGATGCTGGGCTGCGTGTCTGCTTTGGCCAGTAGTGCCGTGTGGCTGCTCGTGGCCACCTTTTTGAAGCTACCCATCTCGGGAACGCACAGCATTGTGGGCTCCACCATTGGATTCTCGTTGGTGGCACGCGGCGCCCAGGGCCTGAAATGGACCACCCTGGGCACCATTGTGGGATCCTGGTTCATCTCGCCGGTGCTTAGCGGAGTTGTGAGCATCCTCCTATTTCTGGCCATTCGCCGCTTTATCCTACGCGCCCAGGAGCCGCTCAAGGCGGGATTCCGTTCGCTGCCAATTTTCTACGGCGTGACGTTCTTCATCAATGTGATCAGCGTGGTGCTGGATGGACCCAAGCTGCTCTACATGGACAACATCCCCACTTGGATAGCCCTGAGCGCCAGTTTTGGTCTGTCGCTGCTGGTGGCCCTACTCACGCAGCTGGTGGTGGTGCCTCTGCAGCGCCGGAAGATTGCCAAACGATTGCGGGCCGAGAATCCTGTCAAGTTTAACTTCGAGGACTCTGTGGGTGAGTTAATTAGATTAAAAGTTTATTTGTTTGTATTTATACTCAAAATACTCCATTTTAAACAGAACCTTTAATTGTTTATAATGTAGGACATTGAATAGATTGTCGTTGTTTAAATAACCTAAATCATTAGGTCATTGTCAATACACCCAAGAAGAAAAAACGGGACACTAAAGAACAATAGGAGTCATAGGCCTTTTCGATGGCCTTTGGAGAAGTGTCCGAAAACTGCATTTCCATAACTTTTTAAACAGAAATCCATTTTCAAAGTGGGACAACTGTAAATAATTGTGGTGTGGTTTGATTCTCTAAAACATTTTCATAAAACATCTAATTTTTGGAAAATGACTTTCTTTAATATGCGAATGTAATACAAATTAATGTACAATTAAAATAACAAAGTTAAATGTATGCTTAAGAGTCATTTACCAAAAGCCTTTGGGTCTGAAGGCATCTACTTTATCCTCGGCGGGATCCTCTTTTGCGCTTGGAACCCTTACCCTCACCTCTCCGCTTGTGGTGAACCTTAACGACCTCCTTTGGCCTCTTGATGGTGTTCTTGTGTTTGATAACGATGGCCTTTTTCTTGGTGGATGCCGTGGTGGTGGCTGCAGTGGTGGTGGTGGCCGTTGCCGACGTTGTTGTAGCCGTGGATGCGGGTGGCGTAGCGGCAGCAGGGGGTGTGGCGGCAGCAGGGGGCGTGGCAGCAGGGGGCGTGGCAGCAGGGGCCGTGGCAGCAGGGGGCGTGGCTCCCAAGGCAGACGCAACGAGGGCCACCAAGCCAAGGAACAGAGCTATTTGTGATCGCATCTTGGTTTATAACTTCTGGCTGAAGCCAGGGTATTTATAGGCAAATCGGTAGAAGATGTTTAGTATTGTTTGTTTAAGAGCCTCACCATATGTCATCAAAAATTATTTAGAACTAGGTTGTTAATACAAAGATGGTCGCCAGCTTATAGTATAATTCACTCACTCAAAATAAATATTTAAACAACGCCAAATAAGCAGTTTGTGACTTTTAGAAGGTCCAAATTGGAAGCTTGTTGTTTTGAAACAAACAAACAACAGCAATGTTGATACATTGTCCACAAATGTTCTTCCAGAATCCTCGCCGTCGGGTAGTCCTAAGAAGCAGCGCCGCCCTTTGTCGCTGGTCAGCGAAGGAAAGCCATTGCCCGCTATCGCGGAGATCACCGAGCTGGTCTCCCTGAGCGACAACTCGCCCAGGACTTTTAAGTTGGCCCCCTTTGGACTGGCGGCCAAGAACAACAACGCACCCGGCGAGGAGTACAAGATCGATCCGCAGCTGATCAAGAAGGCCGAGGACCTGCTGGGCAAGGCTAGCCTGGACAACACCGATCTGACCATCACCAGCCTTAATTTTATCGACGAGCAGCAGCAGCAACAACAACAGCAGCAGCAAAATGGACGCAAGTTGCAGGAGTGCTTCAAACGGATGCAGTCGCCCAAGGAGGAGCAAAAGGTATAGTTTATTTCTAGCCAACGGATTGATATTGTAAAAGACCTGTTCATATTTCAATACAATCAAACTTTTCCATTTCCAGCACAAGACTACTGCTATCGGAACAGATGCGGGAGCCGGAGCTACCAAGGCAACCAATAACAACCTCCAAGTGGTAGAGAGCGGCGGCAGTCTCGACTTGATGATCAGTTCCACACTGTCGCCCAATTCCAGCAAGGTGCCGTTGATCGAGAGCAAGGAGGAGTTAAACGAGCAGGAGGACGAGCTAAAGCGGTCGGCGGCGGGCGGTCGAAGAACCAGCGGCGCCGAGGAGACTCAGGAAATCTCCATGCTCTTCTCGTTCCTGCAGATCCTGACAGCCACCTTCGGGAGTTTCGCGCACGGCGGCAATGATGTGAGCAACGCCATCGGCCCACTGATCGCCCTTTACATGATCTATCGCGAGGGATCGGTTATGCAGCAGGCGGAAAGTCCCATCTATATTCTGATCTACGGCGGGGTCGGCATCTCCGTGGGTCTCTGGCTGTGGGGACGGCGTGTCATCGAGACCATTGGCAATGACCTCACCAAAATCACCTCATCGACGTGAGTTTTTTTTCTTTTTCTTTTAAAATTCTATATGACATATTTTATAGTTTTACAAATCGATAGACTATGCTGAGCTTAAATAGCCTTTTTGTAAACTTGGTTGATTGTATCTTAAATATATATAATTAGAAACGATAGGCTAAATATTAACGAATATTTCTCATTTAATTTTATATATCTTTTTTTGCTGCAGTGGCTTTACCATTGAAGTCGGAGCCGCCATCACCGTACTGCTGGCCAGCAAAATTGGCTTGCCCATTTCGACTACTCACTGCAAGGTGGGATCTGTGGTTTTCGTGGGACATGTCAGTGCAGCGGGTCGCAAGGGAAGTCAGACAAAGGATCAGGATCAGGCGGGTATCAATAAGGATGGCCAGAACAATGATGCACCCACGGAAGATGGCAGTGTCGATTGGCATCTGTTCAGGAACATTGCCTACGCCTGGATTGTGACTGTGCCGGTTACGGCTGTCCTCAGCGCCGGAATGATGTACGTGCTATGCGCCATTGCCGTGGACGATATGGGCGGGGCCTAGAAATGGGCTACACAGAATGCCATTCAATTATTAATTGTAATTGCAAAACCAAAATAATGTTTCGTAATTGTACAAGTTGGAAAACACAAAACTTAATATTAAACACGCAAATGGTAACTCAAGAAAAAGTGAGAAAATCTTAACTAAATTACTCGCCTAACTAAAGCATTGTATTTTAGCTCATAGAACGTCTCTGAGTCTAACTGATATTAATATTATTTAATATGTGTACGCCAAGCATGTCGTGATTTGATTTTATATTTATACACCTTAATTTATGTTTATATCCGAATTGCACTTTTTTTTAATTCTTTTGTAGACTAAATCCGAACCCTCTTAAAATATTTTACACCACTCAATAGAGCAGAGCAAAACACTTGAATAAAATACAAACTATGTACAACAGAAAATGTTTATAAGATATGGTCAAGACCAATTTAAATTCGATGCTTTTTATTTGCGATTTTTAAAATTTGTGTTTTATTTTTGTTGTATTTTGAACTATAACAGTTAAAATCAATATTTAAGATCCTTTGGACACTGTACAATTGGATTGAAATTTGTTTACAAATTATTTTAAAACCTAACTTATGAGGCTCTCCAGTCCGTTTTAAATTTACATTCCATTGAGAGCCAGTTCGTATAGTATTTCACTATGTAGATATACGAAAAATAAATACAAAGTTATGACACCCAACGATCTTTTTATTCGCGACGATGGTTTTAATTTTTGCCCAGTTGCACAATGTGAAAACATGATTCCGTACACTAACGGTTAAAAAAAAATTTTTTTTTAAGATAATTTTTTAAAATTTTTTTGATATTTTAACGAACGATTAATATCCGCGATGGCTAAGGAATGTCCTCTTCGCTGACAAGCGAAAGGCGAGGATTCAAAAAGAACATTTATGAACATTATTATTTGTCAGCCATAAGTTTATTTCCAAAAAAAATAGTTTGCACTAATTAAAAGTCTCTTTATTTAAATATTTATTTTGAGTGAGTATACTATAGTGAGTATACTATAGGCCTATGAAAAGCTGGCTGTACTAACAACATAGTTCTAAATAATTCTCGATGGCATACGGTAAATTGCGACTATGCACACACAATATTGTTTGCTTCAAAAAACAATTCTTAAATATTTTCCACCGATTCGCCTATAAAGAAGCACATCAGTCACAGTATCTGAAGATATAAACCAAGATGCGATCCCAAATAGTTCTGTTCCTTGGCTTGGTGGCCCTCGTTGCGACTTCCTTGGGAGCTGGCACCGGTCCCGCCACGCCACCTGCTTCCGCAACGCCCCCTGCTTCCGCAACGCCCCCTTCTTCCGCTACGCCCCCCGCTGCCGCTACACCCACTCCTGCCGCTACTCCCGCTGATCCTGCTACCCCCGCTGATCCGACCACGGCTACAACAACGTCGTCTGCAGCGTCGGCCACCACCACCAGCACCACTGCAGCCACCACCACGGCATCCGCCAAGAAGAAGGCCACCGTTACCCACTACAAGCGCGAGTTTCATTTTTATACCCTTGCAGAGGGTATTATAATTTCAGTCAAAAGTTTGCAACGCAGTGAAGGAGACATTTCCGACCCAATAAAGTATATATATTCTTGATCAGCATCACCAGGAGAGTCGATCTAGCCATGTCCGTCTGTCCGTCCGTCTGTCCGTCCGTCCGTCCGTTTCTACGCAAACTAGTCCCTCAGTTTTAAAGCTATCTGCTTGAAACTTTCCCAAAAGTTGTCTTTCTATTGCAGGTAGTATATAAGTCGGAACGAGCCGGATCGGGCGCCTATATCACATAGCTGCCATATAACTGAACGATCGGAAAAGCCATAACTTTGGTGTTTTTAAAGTTAGGAAGTTGAGATTTTCTATGGGTTTTATTTTTGGCTAATCAATCCGACCTACCGAATTTTATAAGGATCGGACGACTATATCCTATAGCCGCCATATAACTGATTGATCGGAAATGCCATAACTTTGGTGTTTGTAAAGTTAGAAAGTTGGGATTTTCTATGGGTTTTATCTTTGGCCAATCAATCCGACCTACCAAATTTCATAAGGATCGGCCGACTATATCTTATAGCTGCCATATAACTGAACGATTGGAAATGTCATAACTTTGGTGTTTTTAAAGTTAGGAAGTTGGGACTTTTTATGAGTATTAAGAATGCATCATATGAATAATTTTGGAGAATATAATTTATGGAATATTCTGCAAGGGTATATCAACTTCGGCTCCGCCCGAAGTTAGCTTTCCTTTCTTGTTATAATATATCACCTTTCCAAATTTTCGAAAAATGGCTTTGAAGAATAATGTCCAAAAACTTCTAAGCTTATAACATTTTTTTAAGAAATTCCATTTTAAAGTGGTAGAAGTCTAAATTATTGTGGCTAGATTCTCTAAAAATCGATGCTTAAATCTTGTTTTGTATTTTTGGGTCTATTTTCTTGTCATTTTTATACCATTGTATTAAAATTGCAGTCAAAAGCTTGAAACTCAGTAAAGGGCATATTTTCGACCAAGGAAATCTTCCTTCTGTTGCAGGTAGTATATAAGTCCGGATATGTCAGCTTCATTGTTTTTAAGCATCGAAATCGAAATATAGAATATTATATATTGTGAATGTAATACAAATTAAAGTAAAAGTAAAATAACAACAGGGTTAAATGTATGCTTAAGAGTCGTTTATCCAAATCCTTTGGGTCTAAGAGCATCTGCTTTAATTCTGGCGGGATTCTCTTTTGAGCTTGGAGTTCTTATCCGCACCTCCGCGCTTGTGGTGGATCTTACGGACCTTCTTTGGCCCAAGATGAATACAGATTTTTAGAGAATTAATACACAATCATTTAGTTATATGCCATTACGAAAGCGGATGTCTGTAAGAAATGTTATGTGCTGAGAAGTTTAGGTTTTTGGTCACTTTTTTGGCAATGCCATTTTTCGAAATTTTGGAAAGCTCATAAAAATGACTAAAAAGCGACCCAAAAATACAAACCAAGATGGGTACACAGATTTTAAGAGAATTAAATTACAATCATTTAGAGGTATGCCACTTTGAAATCGGATGTCTGTAAGAAAAGTTATGGGCTTAGAAGTGCAGGTTTTGGACCACTTTTCTGCAAAGCCATTTTTCGAAAATTTTCATTAAAATGACGGAAAATCGACCCCAAAATACAAAACAAACTGAAAACTCAGATTTTTAGAGAATTTAACCACAATCATTAAGAGGTATGCTACTTTGAAATTGGATGTCTGTAAGAAAAGTTATGAAATTAGAAGTGCAGGTTTGGAACCACTTTTCTGCAAAGCCGTTTTTCGAAAATTTGGAAAGGGGTAACATAAAAATGACGGAAAATCGGCCGAAAAATACAAACCAAGATGAAGATACAGATTTTTAGAGAATTAAAACACAATCATTTTCATATACTTGTATGCCATTATGAAATCAGATGTCTGTAAGAAAAGTTATGGGCTGAGCAGTTTAGGGTTTTTGGTCACCTTTACATCATAAAAAAGACGAAAAATCGGGACAAAAATAGAAACCAAGATGAAGGTACCGATTTTTAGAGAATTAAACCATAATCATTTACATATATTCCAAATTGAAACCAAGATTTAAACGCAGATTTTTACAGAATAAATTCACAATCATATGGAGTATGTATGCAACTTTGAAATCGGATTTCTGAAAGAAATGTTATGGTCATAAAAGTGCAGTTATTCGGTTAAAAATTTAGTTTTGCAGGATCGATGGAGTTCACTTTTTTAATTTAATCTAATTATAATCAGATCTCTTATTAACACATGGACCATTAAATTTTTTCATTTAATTTTGCGAATGTAATAAAAACTAAAATACAAGTAAAATAACAAAGGTGTTAAAAAATATATGCTTAAGAGTCGCCTAGCCAAATCTTTTGGGTCTGAGGGTTCGAGTTCGGGAATCTGCTTCAATCCTTATTCGCACCTCCACTTTTGTGGTGGATCTTACGGATCGTTCTTGGCCTCTTGATCTTGCGCTCGTAGTGGATGACGGTGGCCTTCTTCTTGGTGGATGCCGTGGTGGTGGCTGCAGTGGTGCTGGTGGTGGTGGCCGACGCTGCAGACGACGTTGTTGTAGCCGTGGTCGGATCAGCGGGGGTAGCAGGATCAGCGGGAGTAGCGGCAGCGGGGGGCGTTGCGGAAGCAGGGGGCGTTGCGGAAGCAGGGGGCGTGGCGGGACCGGTGCCAGCTCCCAAGGAAGTCGCAACGAGGGCCACCAAGCCAAGGAACAGAGCTATTTGGGATCTCATCTTGGTTAATATCTTCAGATACCGTGACTGATGTGTCTCTTCTGGCTGAAGCCAGAGTATTTATAGGCGAATCGGTAGAAGATGTTTTACAATTGTTTGTTTAAGCAAACAAAATATTGGTGTGTACATAGTCGCGATTCACCATATGCCATCGAGAATTATTTAGAACTAGGTTGTTAGTACAGCCAGCTTTTCATAGGCCTATAGTGTACTCACTCAAAATAAATATTTAAATAAAGAGAGCTATGAAGTATGTGACTTTTAATTGGTGCAAACTATAAGCTTTTGGAAATAAACTTATGGCTGTAGACAAATAATAATGTCCATAAATGTCGCCTTTTACTGGTCAGCGAAGAGTACATTCCTTAGCCATCGCGGATATTATAATCGTTCGTTAAAAAATGAAAAAAATGAAAACCAGAAAGAAAGCTTCTATTTTGAACTACTCTTTTTAAATACTTCTTTCACATTGTGCAACTGGACAAAAAATAAAACCATCGACGGGAATAAGAAAATCGTCGGGTGTCATAACTTTGTATTTATTATTCGTATATCTACATAGTGAAATACTATACGAATTGGCTCTCAATGGAATGTACATTTAAAACGGACTGCAGAGCCTCATAAGTTAGGTTTTAAAATAATATGTTGTACATAGTTTGTATTATTTCCTTCTTAGGACTACCCGACGACGAGGATTCTGGAAGGACATTTGTGGACATTATCAACAGCAATATGTTAGATTCTATAACAAAAGCTTCTAATTTGGACCTTCTAAAACTGCTTATTTGGCGTTGTTTAAATATTTATTTTGAGTAAATACTGTTATACTATAGGCCTATGAAAAGCTGTATTAACAACCTAGTTCTAAATAATTTTCGATGGCATATGGTGAATCGCTTAAACAAACAATTGTAAGACATCTTCTACCGATTCGCCTATAAATACTCTGGCTTCAGCCAGAAGAGGCACATCAGTCACAATATCTGAAGATATAAACCAAGATGCGATCCCAAATAGCTCTGTTCCTTGGCTTGGTGGCCCTCATTGCGACTTCCTTGGGAGCTGGCACCGGTCCCGCCACGCCCCCTGCTTCCGCAACGCCCCCTTCTTCCGCTACGCCTCCCGCTGCCGCTACTCCCGCTGATCCTGCTACCCCCGCTGATCCGACCACGGCTACAACAACGTCGTCTGCAGCGTCGGCCACCACCACCAGCACCACTGCAGCCACCACCACGGCATCCACCAAGAAGAAGGCCACCGTCATCCACTACGAGCGCAAGATCAAGAGGCCAAGAACGGTCCGTAAGATCCACCACAAGCGCGGAGGTGCGGATAAGGATTGAAGCAGATTCCCGAACTCGAACCCTCAGACCCAAAAGATTTGGCTAGGCGACTCTTAAGCATATATTTTTAAACACTTTTGTTATTTTACTTGTATTTTAGTTTTTATTACATTCGCAAAATTAAATGAAAAAATTTAATGGTCCGTGAGTTAATCAGAGATATGATTATAATTAGATTAATAGTTATTGGCAACATGATTTAGGGAAAATTTAACAGCAGGAATAGAAATATCAAAAATGAATACAAAAATTTACTGGGGTGCTACCTTTCGTAAGTTTTAAAGAAGAAGCCGTTTTCAAAAAATGAAACAACTTTCCGAGAATACTCTTACTTCAGTTTTTATTTTTATTTTTATTTTTTGTAAAATATGCCATCGTAAATTATTTGGAACTGAGTTGATTGTACAAAAATCGACACCATCTTTTCGCTGGCTGGTAGTAAAGTATTCAATCAAGGCCTACATTATCTTAGAATTAAAAAAAAGAATTGCACAATATGCTGTTGTATCTAGTTTGACAAATAAAAGTAACAGTAAAGTTGGAAAATATTTGTAATAATTAAAAATAAATGTAATATTTCTCCTGTGTGCTTGATGCCAATATATTTTCGTAACAGGTTGCCAACTTTTTGGCTGAGTTAAAACGGCACATAAGCCCCAAGAAAGCTCAGTTGTATTTAAAAGCTTATATAGACAAGCTTTTGAGTGTGGGGCGCCATATGGAATTGGAATCGAGAGCCCCAACTTTTGGGTCAGTCGAGTTTTGAACTTTGATGCGTTCGGTTCGCTTTTCCCGATTCCGCGTGATTCTGAGACCCGGTTTTTGTGCAATTTAAACTCGTAACGCCTGCGCCTTTGTCGACCACAAAATACTAAGTTCGGAGTGCTAACTGTTCGGGATTTTTGGAAAAAACATAATTGTGAGAAACTAAAAACTTCCTCTTAATCATTTTTGGATTTACGCATTTGGGTTTGAGCTCCACACATTACTGGCAATTTAAAGGTGAGAGAACTAAATTTTATCTGAGTTCAAATATCTGTTGGTTATTTTTGGGCGGTATACGTCCGGCCAATCTCCGAACACCCTTTCTATTTACCACATTTCTAGGCCCACTTCCAGTTCAATGGATTTCCACAAGTACAAGTATTACTTAATTTCTTTGCTTAATCCGATTTGCGTGCATTGAACTTTTCATCTTTGGGTATTTTGTGTTGTTATTGTTTTTTTTTGTTTTGGACTTTATTTTGCACCAACTTCTTGTGGTTAATTCTTGTTGTTGCTGTTGCTGTAGCTGTTGCGACTGTTGATTGTTTTTTCCTTACCCACCATCTCAGTCTGGCAAACCGCTTGTTCTCATTTTATTTAATGAGTTCCCCGGTATTTCAGCCTTTGTTTTGCATTGTTCGAAACCCTGTTTGTTCAATGGGTTTAAAACGTTTTAGCAATTCAAGCCAAAACAAAATTATTAGCAAGTGGATTTGACTTTAATGGGGCTTTCTGATATCGCTTAAAGCTTTAATGAATGAAATGTGTGGCTGAAAAAATGTCTCCATTTCGGGGTTACTTAGGACCTATTTTAATTTGAAAATTAAATGATTATGTAGACTTAAGTTTGAAGACTTAAATTTAGATTTTTAGTCAAAATTAAAATGTTGAACTTCAGGTTGTTATATAACCTAAAGTCAGGGAACAATTTTATTGGAGATTTTTAAGTTTGGAAATAATAGTTAACAAAACCCATATGAGTTTAAGTATCTTACTTGTTGGTTTTAGTTGAAAGAGTATTTAAACTTTGGCTGACCTTTGTAATCCTGTTTACTATGGTTAACTATTATTTTCGATTTATATACAAGCTAAATTATATATAGTTACGATATTAAATTAATTTTTTTAAATCGAAAAAATTGTAATATACCAATATTCTCCCATACCCAATGAATAATAGCTTTCTTCCGTTTAAATTCCTTTCTGGGCTCTTAGTATAATTAACTCTTTAGCAAATCAATAACCTTTCCAACTCCACCAAAACGTAGATCGATGTCAAAAATCTGCGCCCAGCGTGTGTGACCCATTTTCGGTAGAAAAACCGCCGGACGGTCCATCAAACACCTGCTCGATCTCCCGGACAGTTGAGTTGGCCGGGCTCATTATGTGGCCCGGCTAGCGGTATTCCCCTCAAAAGATATACCGACACCTGAAGATTGAATACCCATTGGCAGCCCATTGCGAACCCAAGACCAAACCCACTCGCGAAAGCCACATAGCCAATTCTGTGCAGAACAAAAGCCAAACGATCGAAGCCATTAAGCCAGGCCAAATGGTTGCGAGTCGCGGAGCCCGGCCAAAAGTCATTAAAGACAAAAATCTATTGAAACCGGCAACACGCCTTAAAAATACTTGGTCGATAGGGGGCAAAGGGGGCAAACATATTTCTGCTGCACATGGGAGTTTTCGTTTTGGCCAGGTGGATTGGATGCCATGGCTGAAACCGCACCGCAACGCCCCCCCACCCCCTTTTCACCTCCCTATTGGCCATGTTAATTATGCGCTTATCAGTTCGTTACAAACGCTGTAGTTGGGAAGTCCAATACAACCCGTAATTACACTGGACACTCCGCTCAAGACCCAATCGAATTCCACAGGCGTTCTAATTTCTGCGCTCTCTTTTCACTGCGATTAATCAAATTTGTTTCTATCGGATGCAAGGCTTCCACAATTCATCAGCTTAGATGTACATACGTGCAATTACTGGATTCTGCCGGACTGCCTTTGCATATGAGTAAATAATGATAACCCTCGGAGCGATCCATTCGCGCTCCATGCCATTTGGCTCACTTTCTCCTCCTTTCTGCGGCTGTGGTACCAATTGGCGGGAGTGGCCACTCCCCCCGCCCCCTTTTTGACAATCTATAAAAAATATTTACGATAATATTCAGTTTGTATGAAAGCCAATGGCAGCTTTGAGAAATGCAGGTGGAGATTGGTCTACACATTTCCAGCTTGGAGCCGACCACTTTGGGTTCGGACTACTTTTAATTAAAATAACCATTAATAATATCGGTCACATAGTTTCAATTGGATCTTGACACAAGTTACTTTTGAAAGATTTATTTTACTATTTATGGTATAATAAATTGAACGTTTTCATACCAGAATTTTTAATGAATATGACAAATGTTTATTTTTATAGACACATTTTTTGAAAATTGTAGACTTTTAAAAATTGCTTTTTATGTGCCATAAGGTCTTAAAGTGAGAATAAGTTCTGCATTTACATTTTGGTGGTAAAATTGATTTGTTTTTTGAATAAAAAAGAAGATAATCACTTTTTGAGGTGCGGATTGTTTAAAGCTAAATCATCAACCATAACTAATTTTGGTAACATAGTTTCAATTCAATCCTAATCCTCGTTATTTTTTTAGAAATGCCAATTTTTTTTGAAAATATCTAATTTTTATTTACTAAAACATCGATAATTAAGGAGGTTCCTAAATTGTCAAACAGTTCTGCTGCTACGTTTTTACTGACTTGATCGACTGTTATGTATTTTAATGACATTATATTTCAAGAACAAATTTTTTTAAATTGGCCTATTTGGAATCCATTTTAAATTCATATTGTTTTTGTTTGGTTATCAAATATTATATTTTCAGTTCAAGATATGACATATATTTGAACAAGTTTGATATACTGTCTCAAGAGCGCAACATTCCATTGCATAATCATGTCAACTGCATCAGCATAAAAAAATCGATTAAAGTGTCAACCAAAAAGGGAAACGAAATGCACATTTCCCGTTTGCGTAATATCCCAAAGAAGCCACAAAAATCGCCAAATTCAAAAGAGGGAAAGAAATTCACAAAAAAATTGAATTTGAAAACTTAGAAAAAAAGTCAATACAAAACACCCGAATAATGGACACTTTCTAACGTAGCCTGGCTGTTTCCTGATGTCCCCTGGCTTTCCTAGGATTTCCTATTTTCATTTTGTGTTTTTTGTCATGGACATTATCGCCCCGAAAACTCACTTGACAGCCAGACGCCGCCCCTCCGCCCCCTCCCCTTTGCACCATTGTCATTGAAGTCGACGACTCCACGCGGAGCAACTGCATTTCCCACTCAAGACAACATTTCATAAAGTTTATTAAACTTTAACCAAATTGTTAAAGCGTCGATTTGCCCCCCGGCACCCCGAAGTACCCGCTGCATTCACTTTTAGTGCTGCCGCTGTGGGCGCTCCAAACGAGTCCATCAACTTTGGCCAGCCTCGGACCAAAACAAACTGCCACATTGGCCGGAGTTGGCTCGAATGCAATGGTAATGGCTTTAACCACTCCGCCGTTTTCCTTGAAGTGGCCAAACATTTTCCTCGACTACCACTCGAATCATTCAGTGCCACTCGCAGTCGCACTGCGGATTATTTGCATTCGTGCCGCCGCCCGAGAATCGCAAATTAATTTTCATTTTGCGTAAACTGTCAAAAAGTAAAATCTATTAAGCGATCACTTCCTTCAGAGAAAAACGCGATAGCGAAATGCATGAAAATCAATTCACTCTTAAAGCAACCGAAATGGTCAGTTGCAGTTTTATATAAAAAAGTTGTACGTAATGTGTGACATTATTTTTATATAATTTATGGATATTGGCATTTTTTTTTAAGATATCAAACATTAGTTTTTTTTTTATATTTTTATCTTGTAGAAATTATGTTATTAATTTATTAATTCTTAAATACCAGAAATTGTACAATTTATTTTGGTTATTGTTACAATATAGTAAATCTAAATAAATGTCCTTATTTTAAATATATAAGTCCCTGACCTTAATCGCTGGTAAATAAATAAAATATTAAATTATATTTTCCCTTCTAAGGAAAGATAGAAACTATTGTAAAAGCTAGTCGATTAGCTTTCTTTTCGTAAATGCTAAACCAGCTGTCTAATTTCGATGTTTGGCACTTGCTACTTCTATTGATATAAACTTATCTGATTGTCAGGTAAAAGCATGTGAACTGGCAATAAGAAAGTGTAGAAAGCGAAAACTGGGTAGAACCAAAAGCACCTATTGTTTAAAAAGACACACATTCAATTCTATTAATAATATTAACTTAACTTTATGACCAGCTTTTAGCATATTTTACATTATCTTTTCCTATTGACTTAAGTTTGAAGGTTGCACCTCTTACTTGCGCTCGAATAAATCCCTTATAAATAAACTGCCGTTTGAGCATATTATTCACATGTGAGCAGGCAAGACCATATAAACAATAAACAAAAACATGCCAGTGCATTTGACTTAATTAGGAAATTGTACAAGTGCATGAGCTGAACCTTAAGACAGCAACGGCAATTGGCATTAACCACATTAACCGCATTTTTCCATCAGGCAGTCAGGTGAACCAAACGAGTGACATATCGTTGACTAGATTGACTTGACTAGCCGCCTTTTTCCTTCACCCACGAAGTTGCAGCTTTGCCTTCAATGCTGCATTTGCATTGAAAGTTGTCTTGGTTCGTTTCCAATTGAAATTGAAAATTCCAGCAGGGAATCGCGTTTCTTTCAACTGGCTAATGGCAATGGATCGCAGGGAACAAATACTGATTTGGTATTGAAATTTTTCAATCGAATAGCGTACCTGTTGACATTGAAGATATTGGTAAAATGTCAAAGGTTAATACAATTGTTTTGTAAGTTATTTAACCTATAGTACACGAGTTTCTACAACTTTAGTTCTTTAAGTATATTTATTTAAACAATATATACAAATTTGTAGGTTGAAAAACCATTAATATTTTGATCTTCAAAACATATAATAATCCTAATTTAAGATTATAAAATGTCAAATTGTATATTTATTATATATTATTATTATATACTTGTTGGATTAATATTTATTTATCCAACCTTTTGATAAGCCTATTAAATACATATTTTTTATATTTTTAAAGTTTAAGGTACTACTTTTCTTGTTCATTAAGTTTTACAAATATTATACGAATGTTT